TATATGGGAAATCTCTGCACTATCTTTTCATTTTCTCTGTAAATCTAAAGCTGTGTGAAGAAATAAAAGTTTTATTTTTTAAAGTACATTACAGGTCCAGAGTAGATTTATTCATAATAGTCCCAAACTGGAAACAATCCAGGTATCCATCCACAGGAGAATGGATAAACAACCTGGGCATTCATGCAATGGCATACTACTTAGCAGTAAAAAGGAACGGGCTATAAACACAATCAACTACATGGGTGGATCTCAAACGTATAACGCTGGGCCCTGGCTGGTTTGGCTCAGTGGATAGGTTCAATTCCAGGTTCAATTCCGGTCAAGGGCACATGCCTGGGGTTGCAGGCTCGATTCCCAGTAGGGGGTGTGCAGGAGGCAACCAATCAATGATTCTCTCTCATCATTGATGTTTCTATCTCTCGCTCCCTCTCCCTTCCACTCTGAAATCAATAAAAATATATATATTTTTTAAAAAAGGTATAACGCTAGATGAAAGAAACCTTACACAAAAGAGCAAATACTACCAGTTTCACTTGTATGAAATTCTAAAACAGACGAAAATAATCTTTGGTGGGGAAAAACCAGAATGGTGGTTGCGAGGTGGGGGTGGGAACTATCTAGGAAGAGCATGAGGAAACTTTGTGAGATGCTGGTAATTAATTTATGCTTACAGATGCTTGAGTTACAAAGGTATCTCAAAGAAAGGTCACTTAAGATCTGGGTGTTTCATTCCATGTACATTTTACCTAAAAGAAAAATACTAAACAAATACTGGACTCTAGTTAATGAGTTCATGATGTGCATGCTGAAGTATTTAGGGAGAAATATACTGATGTCTGCAATTTACTTGAAATGCTTTAAAAAATAAGATGGATAATGGATGGACAATGGAATGGATAGATAGACACGTGATACAGCAACTATCATAAACTATTAATGGCAAAATCTAGATGGTGGATATATGGATATAGACTGTAAAATTCTTTCAATTTTGCTGTATATTTGAAAATTTTCATTAAAAATGTTAAGGAAAAAAAGCTGGTATAATAGTCATATCAATAAATGCAATATATCCAATAAATAAGATAAAAATGATATTATCATATCAATAGATGCAGAACAAGCATTAGACAAAATCAACACCCATTTTTTTGGATAAAAACTCTTAGCAAAGTGAGAATAGAGGGGTCTTACCTCAACATAATAAAGGCTATATATGACAAACTACAGGCAACATCACACTCAATGGGCAAAATCTAAAAGCATGTCCCTTATGAACAGGAACAAGACAGAGATGTCTGCTCTCACCACTCTTATTCAACATAGCACTGGAATTCTAGCCACAGGGATCAGTCAAGAAGAAAATATAAAAGGCATCCAAATTGGAAAGGAGGATGTAAAATGGTCATTATTCACAGATGACATTATATTGTACGAAGAAAATCCTAAAGACTCCACCAAAAAATGACTAGATTTAATAAATGAATTTGGCAATGTAGCAGGATACAAAATTAACACCCAGAAATCAATGGCATTTTATACACCAATAATAAACTCTCAGAAAGAGAAACTAAAATAATTTATCTTAGGAACAAAATATTAAGATACTTAGAAATAAATTTAACCAAGGAGGTAAAAGACCTGTACTTGAAAAACTACAAGATGTTGAAAAAAGAGATAGAGGAGGATATACACATGTGAAAGTTATACCATGTTCATGGATTAGTAAAATGATTATTACAATGTCCATACTACCCAAAGCAATCTATACATTCAATGCAATCCTCATTAAAATACCAATGGCATATTTCACAGATCTAGAACAAATACTCCAAAAATTTATAATGGAACCAAAAAAGATCCCAAATGGCCACTGCAATCTTGAGAAAGAAAAACAAAGTTGGAGGGATCACAGTACTGGATATCAAATTATACTATAAAGCCATTGTAATAAAAAAAAAGCCTGGTACTGGCACAGGAACAGGCATATAGATCAATGGAACAGAACAGAGAACCCAGAAATCAGCCCAAGCCATTATGCTCTATTAATATTTGACAAAGGAGGCAAGAGCATACAATGGAGT